CCTCCACAATTGTGAATATGTTTTTGTACGAAACGACACAGTAAAAGGCCTCTTTGCCCTACTTATACGAAACCTTTCCAAGTAGTCAACATAAAACCCAAATATTTCACAATTGTAGCAAAAGGCAAGCAAGACACTGTCTCTATAGACAGACTAAAGACGATGTACATAAGAACAAGACTTATCCAAACAGATAACTGAAAGTTTTATAAGATCAGCGCTCCGTTTAAAACATGACATCGTCTTTGTCATGTTGTATTGATTATGTTATAATTTATGAATATGTCCTGAAGATGGTTTATTAGACCGAAACGTCCGACGTTGACATATTAACATTAAAACAGCATAATTGTATATAAGGATTTTTGTTTGTTTTTTCCGTATATATTTTTCTTCATACATATATATGTATATATATACTCAGACAGACACACACACACACGCACGCACACACACGCACGCACACATACACACACATGTATATATCTCTATCTATAAAAGGCATGATGTGTGTGTGTGTGTGTGTGTGTGCAACGAATGCACGGCCGCAATTTTCGACGGATTTGCACCAAAATTTACATGCACATGCTCCAAGTTAGCGGGAAAGGCCAAGACCGACTTTACATTTCCCAACTCCCATCGATAGTGGAAATAATCAATTTTTTCATGCTTCTACGGCAGTTTTCATGTAGCTTGCGGCCATTTTCTACTGGCCAGAGTGAGAGCCTATAGCTGGCTGCCACGAATAGGCAGGAAGATCCTATTGGCCAGCGTGAGAGCCAACAGCTGACTGACACGAATGTTAACTAGCATGCTAACATGCAAAAAAAATCGATAGCTGCATTCGTCACAAGTGGGAAAAATTTAAATCTGCATGGCACTTTATTCCAATTGGCTCATTCGCTTGCTTAAACTCAACGTTGATTCTGATTCCGCAGAACTGGGTTGGGTGTGAAAAAGTATTTGTTGTTAACATTCTTTTTTCATTCGGTTTTTCCAGTTACGAGTCCTTTTTTAAAACTGATCGTTTTGTGTTCATTTTATTTAGTTCTTTTTTGTAACAGATTTAATGTTTAGTATAGGGCTTAGAAAAATTCGCAGTGTGAGATAGGCAAGAAGTAAGGCATGTAGCAACATCAGTACGGCAAAGGGTACTCCTTTAAAGGCAAGGAAGGGCAAAAATATTTTAAGTCAAGTGATAGCGATTGCTGTATGAGTCGTACGATTTTTGAATCAAGCACAGGCAACGCCGGGCCAGTATAGATATACATAGTATAGATATATAGTATAGATATATATATATATACATATATATGTATATATATACTAGATATATATATATATATATATATATATATATATATATATATATATATATATATATATGTATACATGTGCTTCTTTTAATGTGTAGATTTTGTGGAATCTTCCATTAGCCTTTCACCCCTTTCAGAAAGGTGCATTCTTCCATAAAAAAAAACCTTAACCAATCATCGCTTCGTTTCTGTAAATTCAACCTTCTATTGGTTAAGAAACACTAAATTGTAGCGAAGTCGAAACAAATCCTTTTTCCCGCCGAGCTCCCTGGGACCGATTTTGCTGCACAAAGGTCTATAAAAACAACCGCATAACTCAATTCAGTCAGTCAGTCATCAAGTTTCAAGAGATGCTACCAAACTCCACGCGTGTCAATTCACTGGCTCAAAATCACTTCAAAATTCTCAACAAACTCAACACAGCTCTCAATCAACCATTGTCCGCGTGGTAATCTACAATTGACTTAAAAAGTGAACGTTTTCACTACACAAAAACTAATTGTACACTTCATCAATTTAACCTATCAGTTAAAGACAAACAACTCTTCACAATTTTAATTCTAACTCATAAATAACACATGCACACACACTAACAATTGAACAAACACATTTGATATCTTTCTGCGCAGAAACAAAATTATTTTAATTTCCCTAACAATCCAAAAGCATCAACATTTATTAACCACATTTCTGCATGAACATTCTTCATAACATTAACTCACTTATCACATTAACAAACATTCTGTTTATCCTTGCATGTATATTTATTGTATATATAAAAATGTCTTTACCTTCTGATACATTTCACTCAGCATACAATCTGCAACAATTTAATAGACCGGCTAATAAAATCAAAATTTGTAGGATAAAGAGACAACAAAATGATAACAATGTCAGCGCATGCATGCTTCATTAAAAACGACAGACGATTAAGCTTTTTATTTAAATTTTCTTGTTTTCGAACAGATGTTTTCTTTTTTGGACACAGGGTGTGTAGAAATAGAAACTGTCCAAATATTCTAATAATTCCGAGCGCTTATCAAGGATGATTTTGTTTATTCAGCTTAAAATTGAGTGTATGTTTTTAGTGCTATAGAGATGTTTTATTTTCCGAACACAGTTAGCACTTGTGGCCGTGTTCAAAAGCAATTTTATAAAGAAATACACTACCCCAATTACCCGAA